TTCGAATTACGAACTGGGATAAGATGGAATTTATATTTAAGTTTAAATTTCAAATTGGAATTTGAATTTTGAATTTGAATTTTAAATTCTATGAGGTTAGGTTGTTGAGTATAATTTAAAATTATTTAAAAGAATTATCCAATAGAGATTGGATGGAGATTCTCTCAACTGCTTTTTCATTTGAATTTAGAATTCAAATGAATACTGTTGCAACAAAATTTCCGAGGGAAGAAAAGGAAGAGGGGTGCCTATGTGGAGAGAGAAATCTTGACTAGATTCTGTATCAGATTTCATGGAACAAATGGATATGATCCATACTTAAATTTTGAATTCAAGTCATGAAGCTTCTAAAGGCTCCTAATAGTCTGGTCAGTTGTTAAGTGAGAGGATCAAGTAAAGAAAGATCCTTTCACCATTCAAATTTGTGCCTAACTAAATGGGGGGCTGATGCAGTTGATCAAATAATTAAAAAAAAAACCTGATGCTCCCTCTCTCCTCTTAGGGTTCTAGGAAAAGTTCCAACCTTTCTTCTTCTCTCTCTTTTTGCACCATCACCTAGCCTCAAGACACCATTACAGTCTTGAGAAAGATAATCCAAACACTTGGTTGCCTCTTTCTTGCATGCGCCTAGTCAGCCACCGAGGATAAGGAGGGATCAAGGAGAAAAAGTTCTCGCTAGCAAGAAGGAGATAACCGTGTGGATCACTGTTGGAGGGCATCATCCTTTTGCGCCTACATGTGAAAAAGGTAATTCTGAAACCCCATATTGTTTCAACGTAAAGCACTCATACATGGGGTGTATAGATGGTCTATGTTTCCGCTGCGAAAATTTTTGTTTTTCTACCCATGTATGTGCTCCATAGTATGACTATGGTGCAGTTTTATAACTTTCAAGTGGTATCAGAGCTTGGTTCGTTGCTGCAAACGAATGGGGTTAGAAATCTGATATCGGATTTTCAAAAACTGTTTTTTAAATCTTCATCCTTTTGAACAAGATTCTTTAAAAATTTATTCTTTATGAAAGTTCTAATTTTGTGATTATGTGAAAGAGACATCATTTTGTGTAGACAAAGTGGCGACCAAGAGAGTCTTGGGGCTAAGGATGGGTTTTAAATCTAGTTGGACTATAATTGTAAAAAAAAAAAAAAAAACCATGATAGCGATGACACCATCATAGTCGCGGCCTACATGGTGGGCAGCCGCATCACAATTTTGTTTTTATGAATCTTGATCATGTTTTGAAGATGAATTCGATAATGCTTAGCAATTGTGGATTGTTTTGTATGCCTCTAACCTTCTTGTAGGTCCTTTGATTATTGGATGGTCATGGTGCTTCGAATGTTTGTTTATATATTTTTTAATTCTTTTGGTTAAATGGGATTGTTTTGTCCCGATTTAAAATTCTGCATTTTTTTAATTTTATATAATTTTTTGGATGTAAATTTTAAATCGATGAAGTTCAAAATGTAAGTCCATGGAGCACAAAGATGTTTCGGCCAAGAAGATGATCTGAGGATTGAAGATGCTTTGGATTGAAAAACGGAAGGCACCATGATCATCCACTTGCGTTTAAATTTTGAATTTATGATTTTTGAAATTATGCATGCATGTGTGTTTGTTATAGAAATTCAAATTTTCAAAAACTTAAAATTTAAATTTTAAATTTCAAAGGTTTAAAGTTGTTATTCGGAATTGTGAATTCTATTTACTTTTTGAAATTTGAAATTTGAAATTTGAATTTGAAATTTTGAATTTTTGAATTTGCGACTAGTATGCATGCTTATAATAAACGCGATCATTCCTCGACTAGTATGCATGTTTAAACAAGCTGTTTAAAAGGAAAAACTATATGATAGTTATTATAATATGCATACAAGATATAGGAAAAGGAATAGCTAATGATGAGACTAAAAATGAACCCTCAAATAAAATTATCTAGCATGTTTTTTGATTGCCTCCCATTATCGATGACATTCAAATCCTTTCTACATAATAGTGCTCTCTAGCTTAGCTAATACCTATCATTTAGTCGGGTAAGGGTGCCATTTGAAGTGTACGACACTTAGGATGATGGTTTGTGCTAAACTAGATACATAAACTGCAGGCTCAGCCAGGTCTATGCATCTAGGGCTATGGGCCAGGTTGTTACAAAGTGATGTAACACTAAGTGACAAGGAGTTGTCAACCTGATGATCTAAGAGAACATATGGAGATATTGTTGATAATATCTACCCAGTAGATAAGTTAGTTTTGCAGGCTCAGCCGGAGACTAATAGACCTAGTCGTTCTCTTAGCCCACTAAGGATGTCCTTGTGAAGGATAACCCTAAATCAATCACCGAGGGTTATTGATTTTAAATAAAATAGTGGGAGGGCCAAATACGTTTAAAAAGTCTTCGTTTTGGTTATTATCATGAAATACTTATGTAAGTTTATCTTTATTTTCAGAAATTGAGTTATGGCCAAAAATTTGAATTTACGCTATATTCTGGATACTAACAAGTTAACTGGACCAAACTTCACGGATTGGTATAGGAATGTAAAAATAGTTTTATGTTCTGAAAAGAAAGCATATGTTCTGGATTCTCCTGTTCCTGTTGCCCTTGCTGAAGGGCAAGATGGGTATGACCAGTATGACTGGGAAGCTCATAGACAGCATTTGGCAGACAATGAGCAGGCAGTATGTATATTGCTTGCGTCTATGTTCTCGGAGCTTCAGCGTCAGCACGAGTATATGGATGCTCCCTCCATAATCTTACATCTTCATGAGGTTTATGATAAGCAAGGGAGGGATGAGCGTTAATCTCCAAGGAGCTGTTTGGTTGTAAGCTGGCTGAGGGTATGGCGGTTGGACCGCACATCCTCAAGATGATTGGGCTGATAGAGAAGCTTGCTTCTCTGGGAATTATCATGGACCATGAGCTAAGTGTTGACTTAGTCTTGCAGTCCTTGCAGCCTTCATTTAATGGCTTTGTGGTCAACTACCATATGAACAAGGTGGAGACAACGCTCCCAGAGTTGTTGAATCTCTTGACCACTGCTGAGGGTGCTGTTAAAAGGAACAGGACCCAAGCTCTTCTGATTGGCGGGCCTAAAAACCAAGGGTAAGGGAAAGTCTGTAGAATCAGACAAGCTTAAGCCCAAAGGTCAGCCCAAGAAGAAGAAGGGCAAGGGCAAAGTGAAAGGAAAGGAGAAATCCAAGGACAATGCTAAAACTGTATGCTTCCATTGTCAGAAAGAAGGACATTAGAAGAGGAACTGCCCATTATTCCTTGCAAGCCTCAAGGGAAAGAAGCATGATGATGCTTCAGCCTCTGGTATGTTCATTATAGAAATTAATTTTTCGAGTGTTGATTCAGCTTCATGGGTATTGGATACTGGCTGTGGATCTCACATCTGCAATTTGTTGCAGGTACTAAAGAGTCCTAGGAAGCTGGAGAAGAATGAGGTCAATCTCCGCGTTGGGAATGGAGCAAGAGTTACTCCACTAGCCGTTGGGGATGTGGATCTTTTGTTGCCTACGGGCCTTTCTATACATTTGAATAATTGTTTCTATGTTCCGTCAATTTTTTGAAACATTATTTCTATTTCTAGTTTGGAACAATCTGGTTTTCACTTTGTAATAAAAGATGGAAAGTTTTCCATCATTATGAACGATCTTGTTTATTCTTGCGCATCTAGAGGGAATGGATTGTATGTTTTGGATTTAAATACGGAGAGTGACATTCTTAGTATTCAGACTAAGAATCCTAGATTAGGTAATTGATCTTATCTTTGGTATTATAGATTAGGACACATTAATGAGACAAGACTGTCTAGACTCCATCACGATGGTTATCTGGATTCCATGGATTTTGAATCCTATGGACCTTGTGAGTCTTGTTTGGCTAGTAAAATGACGAAGACCAAGATTAAGAAACTTGCGAGTCATAGAGCCAATGAGTTACTAGAACTCATTCATTCTAATGTTTGTGGGCCCTTATCTACTCAGGCTAGAGGAGGATACTCTTATTTCATTACCTTTACTGATGATAAGTCCAGATACGGATATGTGTATCTTATGAGACACAAATCTGAGGCCTTTGAAAAGTTCAAAGAGTTTAGGAATGAAGTGGAGAAACAACTTGGCAAGATGATTAAGACACTTCGATCTGATCGGGGTGGCAAATATCTGAGTTAAGAGTTTTAGGATTATCTAAGAGAGAATGGGATTCTCTCACAGTTGACGACTCCTTACACACCACATCAGAATGGTGTGTCAGAGAGGAGGAACCGAACCTTGTTAGACAAGGTACGGTCTATGATGAGTGGTACGAAGCTCCCAAAATCATTTTGGGATTCGTTCTGCATACGGCGTTACATCTTCTTAATAGGGTACCGTCGAAATCTGTTCTGACTACTCCATATCAGATATGGAGGGGCCGGAAACCCAACTTGAGTTATCTCAAGATATGGGGTGGTCCAGCTTACGTCAAGACCCTAGCACCTGAAAAGTTAGGAGCTATAAGCACCTTGTGCTACTTGGTAGGATATCCCAAAGAAACTAAGGAATACTACTTTTACTACCCTGAGGACCAAAGAGTTATTGTGTCTAAGAACGCTACTTTTCTTGAGGAAGACCTTCTTTCTCAAGAAGATAGTGGGAGTAAGGTAGAACTTGAAGAAATTCAAAACATACAAGAACAGATAGGGGAACCTGAGTGTGTTGATCAGGAGATGCCTCAACTGGAGGTAGCAGACACCCAGCCCTGAAGGAGCACTAGGTTTAGTCATCCACCTGAGAGGTACGGTTTTGTGATTGAGAATCAGCAGACCGTTGAGGATGACGAGCCTGCTTCCTACAATGAGGCAGTCATGGATGTTGACTCCTTAAAATGGCAAGAAGCCATGGAATCCGAAATAGATTCGATGCATCAGAATAAGGTATGGACCTTGGTTCCACCACCTGAGGGAATAGTTCCTATTGGGTGCAAGTGGGTTTTCAAGAAGAAGACTGATGCTGATGGCAACATCCAAACCTATAAAGCTAGGTTGGTTGCGAAGGGTTACCGTCAAAGACAAGGAATTGACTTTGAGGAAACCTTCTCACCTTTTGCCATGAGCAAATCTATTAGGATTATGCTAGCGATAGCCGCATATTATGATTATGAAGTTTGGAAAATGGATGTTAAAACCACCTTCTTGAATGGGTTCTTGATGGAGGAAGTGTATATGACACAACCTGAAGGTTTTGAATCCAAGAGTCAAGAGCATATGGTATGCAAACTTCAAAGGTCAATATATGGGCTTAAGCAAGCTTTCAGGAGCTGGAATCTTCGTTTTGATGAAGTCGTTAAGGATAACGGTTTTATCAAAAATGAGGATGAACCATGTGTCTACAAGAAGGTTAGTGGGAATGCTGTTGTTTTTCTTATGCTATATGTAGATGACATATTGCTCATTGGAAATGACATTCCCATGTTACACTCCAAAAAGGTTTGGTTGTCTGAGAACTTCACCATGAAGGATATGGGAGAGGCAGCCTATATACTAGGTATTAAGATCTATAGAGATAGATCCAAGAGGTTGCTGGGATTGTCCCAATCCACGTACATAGACAAGATGCTAAAGAGGTTTAGCATGGATGGGTTGAAAAGTTGTTTTCTTCCTGTCGGTCATTGCATTCATCTCTCTAAGGCTATGTGTCCTAAGACACCTGTCGAAAGGGAAGGCATGGAGAGGATTCCATATGCATCAGCAATTGGATCCATCATGTATACCATGCTATGTACTAGACCAGACGTCTCTTATGCTTTAAGCATTACGAGCCGATACCAGTCTCACCCTGGAGAGAGTCACTGGACGGCCGTGAAGACAATCCTTAAGTACTTGAGAAGGACTAAGGATTTGTTTATGGTTTATGGTGGAAGTAATGAGCTGATAGTGAAGGGATTCACTGATGCAAGCTTCCAGAGTGATAAAGACGACTGTAAATCTCAGTCAGGCTTTATATACACCTTAAATGGTAGAACAGTTTCTTGGAAGAGTTCCAAGCAAGAGACCACGGCAGACTCTATTACTGAGGAAGAATACATAGCAGCTTCAGAAGTGGCTAAAGAGGCAGTTTGGATCAAGAAGTTTGTTGCAGAACTTGGAGTGGTTCCGAGCAATGTTGATCCAATACCTTTGTATTGTGACAACACTGGTGCTATAGCCCAGGGCAAGGAACCCCGGTCTAATCAAAGGTCCAAACATGTGCTCCGAAAGTATCACCTCATCCGAGAAATTATTGAAAGAATGCAGATAAAGATGGACTACGTCCCCACTGATGATAATTTGGCCGATTCTCTGACGAAGGGTCTCTCTCAGAGAAAACATGATAGTCATTATGAGTCTTTAGGTTTGACACGTCGACCTGATTGGCTCTAGGTCAAGTGGGAGATTGATAGAATATAGGTGTCCTAGAGACAATCTATTTTATCAGATGAACACCTTTTTCTATTTAGTATTTCATGATTAATAAATTTGAACAAACTTTATCTTTATCATATTTATGTCTCGCCAATATTTCATTGTAAATATATGTTTAAAGATAAAGACCCTAAGAATAGAACAGGTGTACACTAGAGGATCTGTGATAGGGATCATGATCATCAGGACTCGAGGACACTGAATGTCTATTACCTAAAATCTGTTCCTGGTCTTGAATCACCAAGAAATGGTATTGGTAATCTCAATAAGACTAGTACGACATCATATACTTGTGTGGAGATACAAGGTAGGGACCTCATGGAATGCAGGCATGGTGATTCCTTAGTTGATGTCGTGGGTGGATCTGTTGGAGAACAGATAACACTGAAATGACCCCCTAGAGACTCCACAAGGATTCATTATGGAGAGTATCATTAGATTTGTAAAGTCTCTGAACATTTGGTAGTGCGGATCTTCCTAGATTTAAGGATGTCATCTAATACTATGTCCTAGAGTTATACTTTGATTGTACAACTCTATTCGCCTGAAAATGGGGAGAACAATATACTCTTGGGTATAACTCGAATACATGAGTATTGATGGACATGCCGAAAGGACTCACAATCCCCTATAAGGGATTAGTCGTTCACAAAGACTGGTAGGGCTGAGATGACTTCTAGTTGACTCGGGAATCTATGCATAGTAAGAGATCATGAAGAGTCATGATCTGTCTTAGAGTCAATAGAAGAAGATTCTTAGTTCCTGTGAAATATTATATTTAGTCAATAAAGAGAGATGATACTCTATCCTTGCTCTTGACTAAATGTGACCGACGATGTGAGGAATAATGCTAGCATGGTATCCAAATTAGAAAGGTAGATCACTTGATCAACTCAATTAGTTCTGGGGCTACAGAGCATTGCTAGTGTATCATGTAGTCATTAAATGGATTGGGCCTTTTTAAAGGAGTTTAACTGGTTCATGTTTATTTATGTAAGTAACTAATTGGGCCTAATGGGTCATACACAAAGGTTATTCCTTATTGCAAGTTATAGCAAGTTTGGACCAATAATAAGTTATTGGGCTTTGTCAAGACTATGAGTCAAGTTGGATTGGAGTAGGGACTCCAAGCCCACTTGATCCATGCGCCCTTTTGGGGCATTAGTTGTGAAAGAGTTTTCTCCACTAATGGGCCCAAATATGATGGTAGGCCAAAGAGGCCTCGGGGCATGAATCTTAGTAAGTCAAAGAGTTGACTTGACCAAAATAAAGTTTGGAGAAATTTGAAATTTGAATTTTGAAATTTGAATTTTTGTAATTTGAAATTTGAGTTTTGAATTTGAAATTTGAAAT